AGATAGATAGATAGATAGATAGATAGATAGATAGATAGATAGATAGATAGATAGATAGATAGATAGATAGATAGATAGATAGATAGATGGATAGAATTGGCTAATGTATTTATTATCAAAAATTAATTTCAGAAAATTTTATCCAGATTTTATAATAAACTAGATAAGAGTCTTTCTTTGGAGCCCTTGGTTTTTTGGTTTGTTTTTGACAGAGCAGCTTCCTGTTTCTGACTGTTTAACAGCACCGTCTGTTTTCAAAGTTTCATGTTTGAGCCCCAAAAAAAGGAACCTCCCTGCAATAATGTTTCACACTTCATGTACAGAAAACTCCACTGCTAATAGACCTGTTCAAGCAAACACAATGAGTACATCTGAGTTTACTGTAAAATGTTTCAAATACGCTCCGACTAAACAGCACAGCATCGGTTGGGCCAAATGTTAGTGAAACACCACTGGAACCATCAAACCTCAGCAATATACGTATTTACATACACTATATTGCCAAAAGTATTTGCTCACCCATCCAAATGACTGTGCACCAGTGCACAAAACAAGGTCCATAAAGACATGGATGTCAGAGTCTGGTGTGGATGAACTTGACTGACCTGCACAGAGTCCTGACCTCAACCTGAAAGAACTCCTTTGGGATGAATTAGAGCAGAGACTGARAGCCAGGTCTTCTGTCCAACATCAGTATGTGACCTCACAAATGTGCTTCTGGAAGAATGGTCAAAAATCMCCATAAACAMTTTTAAACCTTGTGGACAGCCTTCAGAAGAGTTGAAGCTGTTCTAGCTGCAAAGGGTGGACCAACRTCATATTGAACCCTTTGGATTAGGAATTGGATGTCACTTAAGCTCATATGCGAGTTAAGGCAGGTGAGATAATACTTTTGGCCATACAGTGCATATCTTAAAATGTACCCATAATGAAGCAAAAAAATGGCTAATGTGTCTCTAAATCTAAAAATTGTTAGCAAATTTTGTAAATGTCAACGACCATAGTTATTTATATACGTATAAAACAGCCAACGTAACTGAAAATAGATTGACAGTGGTGATGTCCATGGAAGAGCTGTTTGGGATCAAGGACAGTTTGGACGATTTGTAATTTGGAACCTTTGGGAGTTGGACTTTCAGTCATCACTTCAGATCAAATTTCTTATGAACAGAATCTCTTGCTGGAGCCAGGGAGAGGAAGAGGTCCAGATTAGAGACCTCAGGATTCCACCTCTGCTGTTTGCAGATGATGTGGTTCCGTTGGCGTCATCGTGCCGTGATCTTCAGCTCTCACTGGAGCGGTTCACAGCTGAGCTGGGATGATGATCAGCACCTCTCCTCCAAATCTGAAGCCGTGGTCCTCAGTCGGAACAGGGTGGATTGCATGCATTTTGAGGTTTGGGAATGAGGTGCAGCTTCAAGCGGAGGAGTTTAAATATAATTTTGATCATGAGTGAGGACAGAAAGCAAGAGATAGACCAACAGATTTGTTAGGTTTCCTCATTACTGCGTACTCTGTTGGTCCATCATGGTAATGAGGGAGCTGAGCTGTACTGATACGTTCCTACCCTCACGAATTTAAGATAGTGACCAAAAGAACGAGATCACAAATATGCAAAGGGTAGAAATTAGTTTTATCTGCAGCGTATCTGGAGTCTCCCTCAAAGAAGGGTGAGAAGTTCAGTTATGTGGGAGAGACTCAGAGTAGAGCTGCTCCTCCACATCGAGTGCGACCAGCCGAGGTGGTTCCAACATCGACCACAATGCACGTCAATTATTTGGTTGGTCGTCAAATATAATGGTTGTTTGTCTCTATGTGTCCCAGTGATGGACTCACAACCTGTCCAGGGTGTACCCTGCCCCTCACACAGTGACCGCTAGATATGGGCACCAGTGACCACCTTGACCCTGAAGGGAAGAAGTGTGTAAAGGCAATGAATGGACAGAAAGTGGGAGAGTTCAGAATTCAAGACGGTAATTGTTGTACATGTAGTGCTTTTATAAGAGGACGTGTTAAAACCCTGTTTCTATCCAGGAAATACCATGTAGAGCTCAGGTGTTGTTTGTTAGCAGTACTCGGCCACAGCAATGAGATGAGGACAGAGACATTTCAAAGTTAAACTCAAAACATCAAAGTTAATTGTCCCTTTGAGGGCCATCATGACTCTCGTGGCCTTCGGTGAAAATGAGTTTCCTTATATGGAGAAATTCCATGCATGTCCAGCTAAGAGGAGACCCCAGGCAAGACCCAGGACATGTCTCCCAGCTGGTCTTGGAGTCCTTCTAGAAAGGCTTGAAGAGGCGGTTGTGGGAACAGAGGTCTGGACCCCCCTGCTCAAGCTGCTGCCCTCATAACTCGACTCCAGAATAAACAGCAAGTAATGGATGGATGGACGAAACACAAACCACAAACAGAGTTACAGAGTTTTGTTGACGTGTTCTTTGTTCCCAGAATTCTTCTTGCTTTTCTTTGCTCCAGCTTATTTCCGTTCTGCTGCTGTGACTCGTTTCATTTTCTTTCAGCAAAGTATTGAAAATATGAAAACACAAAGCATACAGTGAACCCACACGAGAAGACCGGAGTCAATGAACCAGTTAGGCGAGGTGTCGAACAAAAGAGAACAGACCGCACGTCTATTTTAGGAAGCACCTGAGCAAGACAAGAGAGGTCCCAAACTGGTTTGGTGTAGAAGAGAAGACTATTGCAAAACATTCATACCACGGATTACAAAAATATTCACCCCACTCAGCAAGTTCTCCGTTATGCTTCTTTACAGCCCGGAATTCTGCAATTTGCACGATGCATCTACAACTTTGAATGTGCAAAATAGTTTTTCATTGCAAGAGAAAGAGAAAATAAGTAGAATTTGCACAACTTTTCATCTTCTGGTTCTATGACACTACATGTGACAAATCTGTACCTGTCTAACCCTGATCAAACTGCTAAGTATTTCATGTTTGAAAGGCCGTTTGTGCACAGCAAACCTTACATCAAACCAGATCTTCCTTGAAAAATAGATGGTAATCTCAAAGAACTTCCTGGTAGATAAAGACAAAATACCAGATATTCTCAAGTAGATTGAAATGTGGGCTTTGACCGAGTCATTCCAYGATGTTTTAACGGTTTAGCTTTAAACTACGGGAGTGTTGCTTMAGCTGTGYGTTTACRCTGTTTTCTCACTGAGCTGTAAGTGTTGGTGACTGAGAATTGTGASGAAAGTAAATAAGCAAATTTCTCATTGCGTCTTACTTAATTCTGAGTGTTTGAGACCGAGCCACCACTGTTGTAAAAAACAACACATGGAAATAAAAAGACTTGAGAAAAATTATAACAAATAAATAAATAAAATCATTTACGAGACACAAATGCATGTACAAGTAAAAGAAAAAAACAAAAAATGTACATTTTTAAAAACAGTACATTTTAATTTATGTGCTAAAATATATAATCTATATTGGAGCCAAACTAGAAAAATAAAAATGAAGGTCAATTAAATGATAAAACATGAGGTAAAGTTCTCCTTTTTTAATTTAATTGGTGCATTTAAGTGTATTTATTTGTTTATTGGTCCATTTATATGTTTCTGCTTTTATTTCTGACTTTGTCCGTTTTAACCCATTTTTTTTTTGTTTTTTTGTAGCACTTTGAGATTTTTGTTAATGAAAAGTGCGGTAAAAATTAAATTCATTATTATTATTATTAACCCTCAATATAGGTGATGCATTTTTTATACAATATAAAAACACTGAAAAGAATGTTCTACAAGAGTGCTGATTCCATAAGTTTTGCCAGAGGTTGTGGATGATCTGTAGGTTCCAATAAAACAAGGAGCTGCATGGTCCACAGAGCAGTCTGAACATTTGTGTTTGATGTTATCATAAAAACACAACCASCTGCAGTGAAGGAAATATTGCTTCACCAATAAAGTGATTGGATTTAAAAGGGAAAAAAAATGCAAAATTAAGGAGCAAATAAAATCAGGAAGACTCTGAGCAGAAGAAACATTGGGCCTCATGCAAGAACCGTTCGTACGCACAGATTTGTTCTTAAGTTGTGCGTACGAGTGATTTAGGAGAATTTGTGGCATTCACCAATGTTTTCATATTCTAAGATTTTTTTCAGATACGAACAAAATTTACGAGTGGTCCAGACCTGTCGTATATTTTACGAGCAGTCAGTCTGCTGTTATCCAGACGGGTTTTCCTCCCTAATAACTTTATTTTTCRYTAGTTTGAAGATAWTTTGAGTTGAAAATAAATCACACTCCATAATTATGTTGACAATAGGCTATTCTGCTTGAATTAGAGTTATAATTTTAAATGTAATAATTTAGACTAACAATATAAATTGTCCGTTCGTCCGTTTTCCGCCGCTTATCCGGGATCGGGTCGCGGGGAAAGCAGCAGGAGACAGCGTCACTTTCCAGCTCGTCCTGGGGGACTCTGAGACGTTCCCAGGCCAGAGGGGATACATAATCCCTCCAGCGACTCCTTGATTTTCTCCAAAGTGCCAGACATATTTTGAAAACATTTTAAAATGGTTACTTCAGAATCGCAACTGAAATTATTTTCATTAAAAAAACCATTTATGGAGTTGATTCAAAATATTTATCATTTTCATTGGGGTGGTTTTGTCTGTCAGTTAAGCTCATCAGCCAGAAACTTAACTCCTCTGAATTGAAGTCCATCCACAGCAGGTAAGATGTTTATTAGTAAAAAAATTAATAATGAAAAAAACTGAACTGTAATTATCTTTTATTTAGCCTGACCAGTTTTATAAAGTACTTCTAAGGGTAAATTTGAGTTATTTATGTTTTTGACATGTTTTGAAAAGTTTTAATAGGATTTTATTACGTAAACTGTTTATTTTATTATTTATTAAAGTGTTTACTGCATGTATGTGTTCAAACTGCAGTGGTTTAAATTTATTTTCATTACTCTCTTTAGATTTTTTTTTAACTCTGACATGAAATTTTCAGATGAAAATAAGCATTTCGTCAAYTCAAATACATTTGTGTTTAACTTATTTAAATGGTTATTTGTGTGCAAAGTTCATTCTATTGTTGTAAAAATTCCATAAATGAAATACAAATCTGAGTCTTGAATCATAAATGTTGTCATATTTTATTTAAAATACATCACAGAGATTTTGCATAGACCACAGAAAAATGTGTCAACTTAAAAAAGAGACAGGATGTATCCTAAAATATGTAGGCCTAGAAAGTAGCTGAAACACTGTTGTAGTTTTCAAACTTTTATAAAAATAAAAAAAGCTTAGCATAAACCACGTTTATTTTCATAATTGTATTTTTAAAAAGGTTTTACTGCAAACAAATTTATTGTCATTCAGGTATTTAAATTATTTTAAACATCTTTATGTTAGCAGCACTACGGAAGCCAAGAGAGGACATTATTTGAAAATGTATTTTTCACAGGATTATCTTCTGAAAACAGTAATTAATTTCGCCAGAATATTATTATTTTTATTTTTTGTTTTGACTCGGAATGTTTCCTCATAAATGATCTTAAAGTAAAATTTTTACAATAAGCTTACTATCACATTAAAATCATCTATTGGTGATCAACTTATTGCTATTATACAGAACAACTCAGCTGTACCTTTATTTAGGCTCAAGAAAACAACGTTTTCTTTTATTCATGGATAATATTAAATGATAATGACCCAAAACGTGCTCAGTTATCTCGGTAAACAACTGATAAACTTCAGAAAATACCATCAAAATGAGTAACAAAAGGTGCTTTCATTCTGAAATAAGATAAGTTGTCTCTGAATACTATCATGAAAATGTATTTTTAGGCGTGTCTTCCCTCATCCTTCATAGATTTTTTTGGCTCTTAGTACTTTTTCAAACCTGCTCTATAATTTACAGGTAAAASTCTCAGGAATTAAAGGCCTGCCATTTCTTATAGGAGTAGCTTTCATGTCAGAGTTTTAGACTGACTCGTTAAAATGACATGGTAACACTTTACAATGAGCCATTTTGTTTTAAAAAAACTGTCACAAAATCCCACTCTTAAAATATGTGTTGTGAATGTATGACTCTCAGCTACTACCACACCAGATTTTGCTTCAATGCCTGTAAAGTTGACTGAGATACAGCTATTTTTATGTTGCAAATGTCGATTAGCTGTGGTTATCATCTTAAACTGAAATGACTCCAAAATAAAATCAGATGTAGTTGTATAGCCAATGATTATTTATTAAAAGTTTCATTAAAATTTGTCAATTCTTTTTAAAGATATTTTGCTAACAGACAAACAGGATTGACTCTAAAAAGTAATCCGGACGTTTTGGGCACAGATTTTTCATATTAAGGAGAATTTAGAATATATATCGTGAATGACTCTCAGCTACTACCACACTGGGTTTTGGCAAAAATATCCATAAAATAAACTGAATTAAAGCCTTTTTTTATGTGTTTCTTAACGTCAGTGGTGGCCATCTTGAATTGGATTAAATCCAGAAATTAAAGCAAGTGAAGCAAAGATACACATGCACTGGTGTTTAAAAGTTTTTCTGAATTTACTGGCATTTAAACTATTTTTTTCTTTTCCAGGTGAAGCATAATGTAGGGGGAAATCTTGTGCGTTGATTAAATTAAAACACTATTATTCTGAGTGTTTTTGTTTCTGTGTTGGTTGGAAACATTTGCAGCTCAACAGACTGTGCTGCCAGCATCCCTCTCTGAGGCAGCGTGACCTTTGACCCGTCCTCCATCTCCCTGCCTCTCCTCTGTTTACCTTCATCCCTGTTTACTCGGACCACAAAAGCGCTCTGGTCTCTGGCTCTACCGCGCATGCGCGCGCCTCCGAAAGCCATCACTCTTTCGACGCACGCGCTCCTCCTCCTCCTCCTCCTCCTCGCCTGCAGCTAATTCTCTCTCAGAGACTCACTAGAACGAGACCAGAACTTTCCTAACCGGCTGTTTCAGAGCAGAAAAAAAGTAGTTTTTGACGGTCTTTTCTGCGTTTWCTGTCGCTTTTTGAKCGCTAAAGGGACTTGGTTCTCCCGGTCAGGACTCGGGAGGTTAACGAGGAGGATGAGGGAGGGAAAGGAGCGACGCAGAGGGAGCGAGGGGAAACTCGAGAACCAAATTAAAACTGGCAGGGAGGTCGGAGACAGCATCATTAATCAATGAGGTAAGAATATCTCTGCTTTAACTTTGGAGTTATACTTCAGCACGCGTGTAAAGTCGAGATAAATTAACATTTTAACTCTTTGGACTTTAGCAAAAGCGACACCTGCTCACGAGGAGAAAATTACACTTTTAAATCTTTGCATTTAGGGGCTTTGACACGGCCATTAACTACATCCCTGCAAGTGAATTTCTTCTTCTACGCTTTTAATTTGTGTCTGCAGTTCATCCTAAACCAGTGGTTCCCAAACTTTTTATCTTCTGACCCACAAAATATCCATGGCAAAAACTTGTGACCCCAAATATTACTGGTCTGAGTACACGAACTTTGTTAATAACCCTAAAAACACAGGCTTCTTGACAATCTAAACAGCTTGTACACAAATATAAATACTTATTTATACATTTTTGTGTGTTTTTGTAATAGTAATAGGG